CAATACGCGTGGCCTCCAAGTGTCTTACAGGACACGTAGTTCAGTTCAGTACACAGATCCTCTTTCAAGGCAGGTTTCAGCCTTCAATACTGGGTGAAAGTTATACCTGTCAGGAGATCTCTGCTATCGGTTACCTTCTGCCGTTGCTCCGTGTTTCGTTACGGCGCAAAGGCTGTCAAGCCATCAAGATTTGCAATGGGGCTTCCGTTATAAGCCTAATTTTACCATTCACCAAAACATCTGATCGGTCTCAAAACGGGTAGACTGGACCTGGGGATGAGGCAGAAGCTTCTCCCAAAATTTCAAGTGTCACAAATTGGGGGTTCCAGGATTATGGCACCCTTAGAGCTGTTCAACACTTGAACCTGGTCTCTACCAGCAAAATTACCTCTTGCTGACAACAGGTGTCAGCAACGGGTGCATCTAAACATGGATTAGCTGCAAACGTTACATCATATTTTCAGGACAGTTTCAGAAACAGCGATTAAGAGCTGCCTGGTACGGGATTCAAATGGAAGAGGGGACAGGACCTCGAGGCAGGTCCTACAAAACCAAATACTTGCAGTGTGCTTTGAGCATGCTGGCTGAATGGCACTGTGCAAGTGCAAAGCAATAGTGGTACAAGAACGAAGAATCTAAAATTCAAAGGGCTCTCAAGAGTGACGGGTCCAAAACATATTCCCGTGTTCTAAAGTGCACCATGGATTGTAGCCAAGTTGCCAGGGGGGAGGGGAGAACTCAGTCATCCTGGGATCATGTTTTGGACCCATCACCTGCAAGTGGAGGCATGACAGGAAGGATGGTCCAGTGGTTAGGAGGGAAATTCTGGTCAATTCCCAGCTGTGCCACAGACTTCCTGGATGACCTTGGGCAAGCCTCTTAACCTCTCAGTGCCTCAGTTTCCCATCTGTACAATGGGGATAACAGCACTGTCCTGCCTCACAGGGGTGCACAGGATAAATAAATGAAAGATGGGGAGGTGCTCAGGTACAATGGTGACAGGGCCAGACCAGGACCTTAGATAGACAGTGTCCTTTTAACTGTGCTGTGCGATCGTCCAGTTTATGCAGGTTCTCCAAAACAAACCTCTTGGCCCTCAAGCTGGGGAGCACCCTCCAGCCTCCTCCAACCCTTCTCACGGCTTCTGTTCCAGGGTCATTAGAAAAGAGGGATTCAATTGTAGGCGGCACATGGCCAAGTACACCAGCAGTGAGGGGAATCTGCCTTTGGATGATGTGCAGTGAGGGATGTGCCAGGACTAAGTCACTAGCTGGAAAGGCTAAAGTGTCATGTCTCTGAAATAGATGCCACCGCCCCCCTCCCCAGTCTTCTCTGGTAACTGCATCTGCTGCCCCTTTCTCCCCATGCACCCTGGGAAGAGCTTAGATCAACAGCAATGATGGCAGTTGGCAGACAGCCCTGCTGGGCCTCTGAAAAATGCTGATTCTGGGTTGGCACCTGTGTGTCATCTTAATGCTACCAAGGTCTGACAGTACAGCCTTGGGTATGCGTACTCTGTAGATGGGGGGCATAATTCCAGCTTGGGCAGAAGTCCATGCGTTAGCTCTGCTCAAGCGAGGGCAGTTGGTGTAGGGGCCAGGCAGCCCTGGGAGCAGCTGGGGCTAGCTGCCAGAGTACGTCCCTAGACTCTTAGATGGCGCTGTACTCTGGCAGCTAGCCTAGGCTGCAGCGGGGACACCGCCGTAGATGTAGGCCATTAAGCTCAGGCCATGGCCAACCTCTTAAAGTGAGGAGCTTAGCCAGAGGCCTCCAAGAGTCATAGACCAGGAGTTCTGTTCCTGGTTTTAATACTGACTTGCCATTGGCCTAGGGCAACACATGCCTCTTTGTGCCTCAGTTTCTCATCTGTAAGGCAGGAATAGTTACTACTTACTTCAGAGAGTCCCCCCCAATTCAGGAAAGGCTCCCTGGTCAGCACCACGCTAAGTAGATGCTTAACTCCGACGAAGCCAATGGGAATTCAGCACACGTTTAATGGGACTAAGTGCTTGGCTGAACAGGAATGAACTTAAGCAGATGCTTAAATGCTTTCCTGAACCAAGGCTGCTGGGAGGCGCTATGCTTTAATTAGCCTGGCATTTTCCAATGGGAGTTAGGTGCCTACCTCCTTTAAGCTCTTGGGGGAGAATCACAGCCTCGATGTGTGGAAAGTGCTCAGAAATGACCTGATGGACGATGTTATAGATGCAGTAGTATTGTGCTAGCTGCAACATTAAACAAGCCACTGCAGAGAACAGTTTACAGGGTTCAGGCTCCTTTTCCAGACTAGAGATCTACAGGGTCTGGGTTTTACTTGGTTTCTCTAATTTGGGGGCCCAGTCTGCTTTCGGCACCTAGTATCTCTAAACATCACTGGTGAATAGCCACCAGGTGGGAGGGTTTTGACCCAGTTTCCAATCCTGCAGGAAGCTGTCATTCAGCTTGGAAATGGATCTAAGCGACCACAGGTGCATTGTCAGCCTCTGCGCCACACCCTGGGATTTCTTGGTTTATACAAGCTCTTGCATTTGGGAGGGAATGTACGTTGGGCTGTTTGCTGGGAATTAGAGTAAATGGAACACCAGGAAACTGGTTTTCAAAGTGATTCAGGAGCAATGAAGCCAGCTGTTTTCATCATAGTTGCATTTTTACAGGCTGGGTGCATCTTTCCAAGATGACATTTTAGCAACTCTCTTTTTCCGGAGAGCCTATTGGACAAGGAGCAGTGAGCATGACTGCAAAGTACTTTATCTTTCCGTTTCTAGCAATGCAGTTTAGCTCCAAGGCTAACCATGGAGCGGGGCGGGGTGCGAATGGAAAGCTAGCTAGTTTGGGTAGGATTTGGTCAAAATGTGGGCTAATACAGACTTGCCTTTGTAACCCAGTTCATAAGAGCCACTTGCATCTGGACTGGTGTCCAATTTGAGGGCTTTATTAACTGAAGGAAAAACTAACAGATTTCAGAGTGGACACTGCTGCACATATGTAAAAAAATATGTTTGGTGGGAGTGGGGGGTGAAAGCCACTGGATCGTGCAATACGATACAAATGATTGCTGTGCAAGCAGCTATGCAACCTGAATATATCTTGTGGGAGACGGAATTAGGATGGAGGTGCAGAAATAAGGCATTTAAAAGTCCAGCATAATAGGTATAGTAGCAAATATTTATTGGGCTAAAATTGCAAGTGTGTGTGTGTAGATAATAGATTGAATGTACCCAAATGCATCCCTCCACATGCTTTGATGTCATTTATTTTCCTAGACTGCAAGTTCTTCTGGATGGGGACTGTTTCGTCCTATGTGTTTGCACAGAGTCCAGCACAATGGAGCCCTGATCTAGGCACTACCAGAATAGAACAATGATAAAGGCTCACAAACTTGGTCCAGCTGGTGAACAAACCTGGGACAGATTTATGGCTTCAGCAGCCCATCCAGCCTTGTGGGTTGGATGGCTAGACCCAAGAGCAGACATGGGTCCTTGGGGTGTGGGTGTGTGCAACACAGGCCAGTTAGAGTGTCTATGAGAATGTTAATACTCAGAAATTGCAGAATGTGGAGGCAGAGATTTTCAAAGCTGTCTAGGGGATTTGGATGCTCCACTCCCATTCATTCTAATGAAGTCCCATTTGCCCAAAGCCCTTAGTCAGCTTTGAATATTGCAGCCTGAATGTTTACATGTAATGTCACCAGAATGATACAGTTTGCATTTGAAGTTTAATGAGGTTTCAGCCTCCCCTCCGTCCGTCCCTACAGGGCAGAGGGGTCCCTTTAAGTTCAGAGCAGCTGTTGGACAACTCCAGGGACTGTTCCAGCTCTTAGATTTCACCACATTTTCTGATCGAGCACATGGGATGGATTCAGGTCACCTGTCACATTCCTTCTAACTTTACCCTCCTGTTCCCCATCAACTGATTGGCTACCGGCCCAGGAGACTTAATTATGAAAGGGGAGAGAATGGGATATTTGGAGGGATGTGGGGGAAGAATTGAAAGAATTCTTGGTTCTCTGCTTAGCTAGCAGCTGGCATGGGAGAGGAGGAGATACTCCTGCTTGTTCCCCCACCCCCTGGCAGGAGGTGGTACAGATGTATGGTCTAATTTCCCCCTTACTAGGATAACCGAATCCTGACTTGGACGCTCTGATCAGCACTTAGGCCTGTGAAATGGTGCCCATGTTTGGAAACTGGGCTCGTAAGTTTCGTCAGCTGATCACATCACACAAGTCCCAGTTGTTTTCTGGAGAAAGCAAGATGGTGTTCAGAGGAACTAACAGGGAATTTTAGGATTGGATCACCTGCTTCCATTGCTGGGGCAATGCAAGCTCAAACCCACCAAGAAGTGAGCTGCTTGGAATGTTTCAGGGGCTGCACTGGTAACATAGGATCAAAGAGAATTAAGGGGGATCGGCATACCCAAGAGTCTTGCAGGATCAAGCCTGCTGTACACATGGCCCATCTCCTAAGGGAGGATATTGAGGTGCACGGTGGGTTGGGAATGACAGCTCCTTTTGTAAGAGAGCGACGTGAAGAGCAGTCGGTACTGTGCAGATCTGCAGGCAGCACAGAGATCGCCATTACTGCAAGCACAGAGCCTGCTTCCGATCTCACTTACACCAGTGGAACCTACCTGACCTCAGCAGGTTCGTGGCTGATTTACGCCAGAGTGACTGAGAGCAGAATCAGGCGTGGGGTCTGGATTTCCGGGCATTCCCTTACCTTCCCATTCAGACTACGGTGGGCGTCAAATTCAAAGCAGGAGAAACTATGCACATACGTCTCTCTGTACCTAGAACTTTTATCTTTGACTTTCAAGTTCCTTAAACCTTCAGCCTGACAATCTCTTCCAGAGCCAACAAGGCATTTGGGGCTATACCTACCAGGCAGGGCGGTTAGACCAGAGATCTGACTGTTCAGTGGTACCCTGAAATGCTCCTATGTCACAGACCTAGACACAAATAAACCATTTTCAAACCCAGGGGATAGGGCTCCGGTCCTTGTTACCTTTTTGTGTTGTGGATGGTGGTCCCTCCCAATACGATCCGGACCCCAGGGGTGGTGCGGTTAAGGTTATACACAGTTAACGCCTCTTCATAGGTTGCTCCTCCAATGATAAACACAATAATATCTTGAGGCCTGCAATGAAAAGGGAGAGCTCTTGAAACGGAGCAGGACAAAGCATTAGACAACACAGCCTAGGGATAAATCCTGCCCTGGCCAGGGACACAAATTGAGCAAGCCAGTGGATTTTCCCTATATCTAATTTCTGTGACGTACAGGGCCCTGAGGGGGCAATGATGCAATAGCACATCATGTGGCATTTAAACACTTGTACCTTGCTAAACACTTACACAAGGTGTGAACAGTTCTGAAAGGCAGGAGCAGGCAGCGTCTGTGTTCCAACTGAGCGCCACCATGACACATCCACCAATGTTTAATGCACGAGCACAACCCTGCTGGGGCTGTTAAATTAAGATCAATTTAGGAGTCAAATAAGGGCATCGACAGCGTTGCAGCCATCTTGGCTCAAATCAGCTGCAGTCTTTCTGGCTCATTACGGAATAGGTGGGATTATGCCTAGTTCACCTCTGAGATTATAATCCCTAAGAAGTTTAGGAGCACAGGATTTTGCAGGGAAGTTGCAGGGCTAGGGTGCTTTCACCTCGGTACATGCAGAGAGACATGTGGCCCTGAATATTTTGCTTCCCCAAAAAAGCCGGCACTTTGATCTCTCCCTCCTCACACCCCCAACCCCATTTCTCACCCCCCAAGTCACCCAGCTGGCCCAGAGGTACAAGAAGTTGGTTCTGGCTCATGAGGCACCTTTGATCTGTGAACCCTGGAGTGCACTGTAGGGGTTCCACAGGATACGGTGCTGTGCATCCTCTCAGGTGACTCCAATAACGTACATTACTGAGTCCGAAAGCTTCTCTCTACAGGGCAGCTAAATTGTGACACAACCTCCTGGTTACCTTGCTGCTGTGCTCCCTAAGCCCTCAAGCCTGATCTCTGTTCTCCAGCCAGGTATTCTCTTAGACTAGAGCTGCTTGCTGCAACAATCAGCAATTAGTCTGCGTGGTCCACGCAAGCTCCTGATCAGCAGCAAGGCCCAAAACTGTCAGAAAGTAGTTTCTAGTATAGGGTGCCCAGAATCTGGCACCTCAAGCCAGATTTTGGAAGTTCTTGGAAGCTGCAGGTACTTGGCCCATCTGAAAATCAGATCCTGGGTGCCAAAACTTTAGGTGCCTAATATTACAGGGCACTTGGAAAAACATGGTTCTCAGAGTTACGTTAAACAAAGAAATTGCTTCCTGAGGCATTCAATGGACTTCAAACACAAGTTTCATCTGCAGTCAGTGTATAATCTCCTCTTGCTGTTCTTTGGAACAGCGGATAGTGGCTTAGCTTCAGCTGTGTAGCTTTCACGAAAGGACAGGGTTTTTAATCAGAAAGGCATCCCTTGTAGAAAAGGCCTAAAAAGGTACATGAACACGCCAGCCTAGCCGTTCCACACTTGAGCTCTGCAGATACAATGGTGCGATTTATCATGCAGATGTTTTGGGCCATCAGTCCGGAGTAGTTATATGGTGGGAGAACTATCAGGATTTCAGCAGCACAGCGTACGTTGCGTTCACAACATTCCCAGTGAGCTAGGATTCTGTGCAGTGATCGCTCCCCGAAGAGTTACAGAGTCCCTTGAATAAAAGCAAGCTGTGAAACCTTCTGTATGGCAGCCTTAAGATAAGCAGGTTATATACAGCGACTGCATGTTCAGACTGTGCAGATTCAAATGTTTCACTATAGCAGACGAAGTTTCTATGCACGAGCAAGGATGCGAGTCACTGAGCCAGCCCCGGAGGATGGAGACTGCTCTGCCATGGCTTTTAGCTGGTTCAGACATGCCTCTTTGGAAACTGGATGCAAATTTGCCCAGCTCTTTCGGGGGTGGAGAAGGGGAAAAAAAAAAAAAAATCTAATAAACCATAATCTGCGGTACTGAAGAGTATTTCTGAATCCCTTTTCAAGACCCACTTCTGCCGTGATGCCTAGGAGAGATCAGCCAAATCACTGATGGCTAGAAAGAGGGGCCAAGGGCACCAGTTGACAATGTACTTTATAATAATTGAAAGCGGGCCGTGGGGGGTGCGTGGTACTGCAAGCTTAACAGATAAAATCCCTACTTTATTAGACAGTTGCACGTGCGGTTAGAGGACACAGCACACAGCTGGGAGTCAGGACTTCAGGGTTTTATTCCCAGGTCTGCTGGCGACTCCCTGTGTCTCTCCAGGGCAAGTGTTGTTTGCTCCATTGGGAAGTGGGTATAATACCGATCTGCTATGGGGGCCACAGTGGTTATGTCTCACAAATCCCAACCAGCCAATTACAGCTGTTAAATTGAACTAGTGACTGTAACTGGATCAGTAAAGCAACAGGCAAATAAAACAAGCAATTTAGCACAGGGAGTCACTTAGTTACAACCTCCACCCAACCCCACTTCATCCACTGGGTCGGTCTCCAAGCAGCTCAGGCTCACAAGGCCTGAGGGATTTACGTCCCCAAATATCTCCTTTTGGCTCCTTCAGAATGCCCGGCCTCAATCTTGGCATCATAGCACACGGTCACCCTTGTTTTCAAGGCTTCATGCACCACCACCATAAAGTGCTTTGAGATCTGCAGATCCCAGGAGGTACAGCAGCCCCAGGCAGGCAGCGAGCCTGCCCTAGAAGTCAGGGCTACGTTGCTGTGCAGGAAGTTGATCCCAATGCACGAGGCCGAGAACACACACTATCAGACTAGCAGCTCCAGCACAGCAGGGCAACACATTTGCTGGAGGGAGCAGCAGGGGCTTGCTGCCCAGATGAAGCCCCAGACAGAGGAGTCTGGCATTGGCTGTTCTTGTCCCTGTGTCCAGAGACAATCAGGTCTTGGCCGCTTCCAAACGGTGCTCAACAGATTTTTTTTAAAAACCACCCCAGCAAAGGCAGCTAAGGAGGAACCCAGAATGCATATGAAAACAGTATCAACACAGCTCATCCTGACATTACTCCTCCGCCTACGCTACCCCTGCAGTAGCTTCAGTGAAAGCACGAGCAGCCTTACAAATTAATTGGGGACGTCTAGTCACACTTAACATCATGACCCAGAAGAGGCAGATCAGAGTGAGGCTGCTTAGCTCTGCAGTTGATACCAACTTGGGAGAAGACATGAGGACTGAATTACTTTGACGGCGTCAACCATCTTTCAAACCGTCCACTGCTCCCCCTTCTCTATCGCAACCAACCTAAGCTGATTGAAAGTGAATACCCGGCCTGGCTGAGTCAACCCTCACCTACCTATCATCTCATCTGCTATGGAGCTGTTAACGTTCACCTCCTATCAGCCTCTGGTGCCGGCCTCCACTGCCCACTTGTTAAATTTTCACACAAGCAAGGAGGGAGCTCCCCCTAAACATCTGCCTTCAAATCCCTCCTTCTACAAACTCTCCTTTGCCCTGGTGCCTGCTAAAACCTTCACAGCAGTTCGGCTGCTGGTGTGCAGAGACCGCTGCTTAGTGTCACTGACCAAGATGGTCTCATTGGTTAGTTGTACTCCCCTGTCTGAGGGTCTCCACCCATTGGTGGAGAAGGACCTTGCCCGTTCTATGAGAAATGTTTGGAAACCTGGTAGTATTCTTATTCTGAAGAGGGCAAATCCTCATTTGAGTGGAGTCCAGGTCACAGAAACCATCCCAGCTGGCACACCAGAGCACAGATCTAGCTAACCCAGTAAGCTGAACAGCTGCATAGCAATGCCATTGTCAGACAAGAGTATGGCGGAATCAAGCCCCTGACAAGCATTTTAAGAGGAAGGATGGTCTTGTGGGTAAGGTACTGGGCTGGGACACTTGGGATCGCAGCCCTGCTACAGACTCTCTCTGACCTTAGGCAAGTCACTTCATCTCCCTCTGACTCAGTTCCCCGCCTGTAAAACAGCGATAATAATCCTTCCTTTCTCCCAGCCTGTGTGTATCTTGTCTATTTAGACTGTGAGCCCTTTGGGGAACTGACCGTCTCTGACTACATGTATGTACAGCACCTAACACAGTGGGGCTCTGATCTCAGCTGGACCCTCTATGAGCTACTGTAATACAAATAATGAGCTTTTGGCGAGCTGTCGCTAGCATGACTCACGCAGTAGTGTCGATGGGCCTGCACGTGTATGGCAAATAGGAGGAGAATGACATTTAAACGGCAGGAAAAGGAGAGTTGGAAGCGAAAGATTAAGTGGAATTGCTTGGAACCCTGCTCGATGATTTACAGAGATTCCCCTCCCCTCCTTGCTGCTAATTTGGACCAGGAGCTTCTCCTCCCCCACAAGAGCATAATATTTATTACGGAAAGACTCATACACTGAGAAGCCTTTAAAAATTCTTTGCCGTTCAAGCGGTTGCCTCCCTTTGATGGTGAAATACAAATGTTTCATCCTGACCTTTTGCTGAACTCGCATCAATCACTGTAACGCCGTCCGCTGAAACCACACGTGGCAACACACTCTAGTCCAGTTTGCCCTGGGCTGGGTTTTAAGTGATTCCCTGACATGTATTATCAATGTTGTGAAGTTTAAGGTGGCTCCTCTCTCAGTGCCTTTGGAATATTTCGGGATAGATTTTAAGGCCTGATTAATTTTCCATCAATCTATCTAAGGTACTTCTGTGGCCCCCCATGACCCTGGAACTTAAGTACCTCACAATCTAATATATTTATCCTCTATGGGAGAGCTGGACTATGATCCCCGTCAGAGAGAATGTGAGGCGTGCTTATAATTCCTGCACTAGGTCTGATTGAGTGTAGGGGCCGCCGGGGCTTGCGGGCCAAGTACATCCCTAGCTCTCAGATGGGACTAGACTTGGGGTGGCTAGCTTGTCCCGCCACCCCACCGACACTTCTATTTTCAATGCGTTAGCTCGATCAGAACTAGCATGCGTATGTCTCCTTGGGCTGGGAATCACCCACAGCTTAAAGTGTAGACATACCCTAAGTGACTTGCCCCAGGTCAGACAGGAGCAGAGAACTGAATGCAAGTCTCCTGAGTCCCAGGCTAGTAGCGTAATCACCAGGCCATCTGTACACTGAGCCCTGGATTTCCAGTGCTCCAGCACCTTAAACTCACTGGGGTACTTTCTCCCCCATCAATGCCTGCAGCCAGACCATCTAGTGCTCTCAGCCAGCCTCATGAGGCAAGGTGGGCCTGGAACAGGAGACCAGGCAAGTGGTGCAGCAGGAAGCAGTGCATGCATCTCCAGGGGGCGCTCTGCCCCGAGCCAGTGCTGCTGACCCTCATGCCACAGTGGCACTGGGAGAAAAATACACGGCCACCTTCTGACCTCATCTAGGAGCAAGCGGCAGGTCGGTTTACATTGCCCACTTGGTCCTTGGCCTTTCTGCTGACATGGCCAGCTGTGCTAGTGGGTTTTGCCAAGAGGACTCCTGTCTCTTTGGAAGCAGTACAAGACCAAGTTAGGCCAACTTTCAGCATCTATTGCCCAGCCCCCCCCCTCCACACCACAAAAATAATCAATCAAGCACTGAATTATTTTGTACTTTAAAAAAGGTGAAAATAACCCCCAGCTTTTATCTGGCACGTCTAACTGTAGTTCTCAAAGCGCTTTTACAGATAGGGAAACTGAGGCACGGGATGGGTCCTACTCAAGGTCACCCAGCAGGCCAGTGGCTGAGCTGGGAATAGAACCCAGGTCTCCTGAGACACAGGCCAAATTCTGTGTGGACTAGGCTACACTGTCTCCCGCTGATAAAGAGAGACAAGAGTTGTATTTCTAAACAATCCCAAGGGGCTGCAACAAGATGCTGGCATTCTGGGTACACCTAACTGTCCAGTGAGACTCAGCTAGTCTCATGCCCCTGTGCTATAGCCCTCCAATGGACCCCGATGGCTCATGACAATCTGTGGGAGGCTCCACAATGCAGCCATTATTTAATATTGCGCCCAGAGGTTCCAGTTGGGATCACCTTGCTAGGCGCTGTACTAACCCCAGGGAAGACCTGCTCTGAAAAGCTTAGGGCAGAATATGGTTTGGCATCTCTGCCATTGCCTTTTGGGGTTTGTTTATTTTGCTGAAGTTATAAGAACTCCCTATGTTTACTCAGTCAGTTACGGGGTTAGGCTGGTGCTATGGTGCGGGGTGGGGAAGAGATGGAAAGTTGTTTTTTGTCCAGCTTAGCTATATTTTGTTTTGGATCTAGGCATTTCTGACAATCTTATTCATTGGGAAATTAAACCCTGCTCCCATTCCCTGAGGAAATCCCTTAGCACCGTGACGTCCCCAAGGGCAGATTCTTGCACTCTATGCCGCACCCCTGGAGATGAGCCCTTTTAGGGCCATCTCATTGGCAACCAGCACGTTTAATGGCAGAGGGTTAAACGAAGCTAGAGGCACTGGCTGGCTCAAGGGGCCCTTTGCCCCACCTTGCTGGCTCCAATCAAGCGTCTGGAAATGGTTATTGCTGTTTGGTGGCCTGTGTGAAATGAATTGGTGGGTCTCACTTCAGGGCCACTGGGCAAATGCCCACGTCAAAGAGAACAGAACTGGCCCCTTTGGCAGGCTGAGCAGAGAGGCCAAGGAGACTGAAGTCCCATCTCAGCCTAGAGCAATCCCTCCAGGGCCAGGCTGGAGCATTTCCTAGGAGGAGAATTCCATTTCTTGACATTCCTAGGAGCAAGCTTGCGTTTCTGCTGCCTTCATCCCCATCCTGGGACAATCAGATGCTTTTCCCTTTCCAGCAGCCCCTTCCACAAGCCCCACAATCCACTGCTGGATTTTTAAAGGAGCATCTGGCATGAGGCAGAGATTTCCTGGCACGTAGACAAACAACACATCTCTTGTGTGCCCATAATTCTTTTATCACTCAGAAATAAAGTGGTTAATGGCCTCGGCTGTCAAGCTGGCGTGGAATCTGGACGCCTTTCCGTTCTGAAATATGTTTTCACTTGTATCAGCTGGATCGCAAAGCCCTATGGTGGGGCTAAGGAAGGAAGCGAGAGCTGTGCTGGGTGTACCTCCCAGAGCCAGAGAAATTAACGAGCATTATTGGACACACTTCCTCCCCTCCCACTTGCTCAATGTAGCTGAACCTCAGTCCCGAAGTCCACTTCCCTTCTGCTCTAAATGAGTTTGCAGTTTTAATTTAACCCAGCCTGCCCTGCAACAGCCACCCGATTTGTTGAAAATTATTAGCTCACAAAATGTGGCAGCTGCTGATAAAAGCTGGCAGGATCCGGTGTGCGAGGGGGGTGAGGATTGTTGCAACACTCTGCATATAAAGTGCCTTCCCCAGAGGGTCGCCGAGCGCTTCGCTGTGCCAACCCACCGGGGCTCATCAACAGGGAGTGAACCTAGGATAGTCAGCATCAGAAGCACAGGTGTCTACCTTTGGAGCCAAAGGAATAACTCTAAGCTTGCAGCAATGGCAGGCTCTTATCCTCTAAGCAGATTGTTCATTAGAAGTGGCTTGAACACCCTGAACCAGTATATTACAGAAGCAGAAACTCTGATTTACAGATAAGGAAACTAAGGTACAGAGGGTTAAGTAACTGGTCCAAGAGCTGGGAATAGAAACCAGGTCTCCAGCCTTCCAGTCCTGTGCCTTAAACCACAAGGCCATGACTTCCTCTCAGAGGTCATTAAATCATTGGAACCTATAGCTGCCTTTAATGGCCATATTGACAATGGACCAGCTCAGCCCTAAAAGGGCAGCCACATTCTTTTTCAGTAAGGACTACTAGCCAGCTTATTAGCCACACTGGGCGAGGTCAGGTTCTCACCAGAAAGAACAACCGGCTCAGGAGGGCAAGTTAGCCATACTTTTTTAACTTGCTAGCAAGAATACTGTGGGAGACCATATCAAAAGCTTTGCTAAAGTCAAGATATATCATGTCCACCACTTTCTCCATATCCAGTTATCTCGTCATAGAAGGCAATCAGGTCGGTCAGGCATGACTTGCCCTTGGTCAAATTGAGACAGATGTTAAGCGACTTGCCTATGGTCAAACAGCAAACCAGTAGCAGAACTGGGAAATAGAGATCAAGTTTCAGTTCCTTGCTTCACCTCTAGAGAGTGCTGGTGTCTTGAGGCAACTGGAAGGAATCAAACTGACAAACAAGCTAATACTCTTAAAGCAGAGCTACAGAGCAATTCCATGCATGCAGTTGTCTGAAGGCAAAGGGAAAAATATAGGGGGAGATTTCCAGAAACGCTCCAGGACTTAATTCTGCTGTTCTTACTTTTACCATCGATAGGGCAAGATCGAGTGCTATGGAATCCCCTCCACATCATATAGTTATTAAACAAAACGTTATGATGTTTCCTGAGCATATTGGACACGGGTATTAACTATCCCTTATTTACCCCAAAGGGGTTCTCCTGTCCCCAGCCTGCCCCCTCCGTACCTGTCCCGGAGCGTGCTGGGACCCAGGTAGGGGTACTGGCCATCCTTAAGTTTTCCTTTGATGAGCTGATCTAGAGTCTCATGCAGGAAGGGCTGATGCTGCGTATACACGTTCTCAACGCCCTGCGATACAGAGAGAAAGTGCTTTTAATTCAAGGCAGGAAGCGGAGAGAGCGGGCCAGCAAAACCATGATCCAGAACGACCAGCATCCAGCGGACGCAGCGATTGTTGGTACAGATCAACTGCCTTGTGCCCTTGCAGTGTGCTGAGCGCACAAATACTCCAACCTCTGAAAGCCAGGAAACAAGGTGTACACCGGCCCCACCCCGCAACCTTAGCTCCATGCCCAGAGCTGGCAAGAGTCACTGGAGATTGCTTAGTAAAGGGCAGCCCTGGCTGAAATAAACACAAGCTGACAGGAGGAATGACTATAGGTGCATTGCAGGTGGTGCCTGGTGTCCCTTGGCATTGCCCTCTCATCCACCTGCATGCGCTCCGTGTTAGGGACAGCTCTGTCGCATGGTGCTGGCTCTCATGCGACTGCCTCACGGCAACGCTACACAGAGCCCCTCGGGTCCCTTGCACGCCCCCTGTCCTTGTCTGGGCTTTGCCAGGGAACACGCGGCAGAGATCTTAATACCTTCAGGCCTTTGAGGAACTGCTTGGTAATGGCGACGGCATCCTTGGGGCTGAAGAGATCGCTGCCCCGGACCCGCTTCCCACCGTATTCCACAACCGCTGACACCAGCTGTCCAGAGAGAGAGGAGACCGGAGACCAATTAACATGAGGAACTAGCTTCAGGAAAGCTTATGTGGATTTAGCATTGATGAAGGTGCTGGAGCGATGCCCAAGGAGCCAAAAGGGACTCCAGCTAGCCCCAACCTGATACACAGGTGAGGTGCAGGCCAAGTGTCCCCTGTATGCTCCCAGCAACATATTCCTGGCGCTGCCTTGGAGAGGTGCCTTCAGAGGGTTGAGAGGGGGAGTTTAATTTCCATGGTCTATTCAAACTGCAACTTCTCTGCCAAATGGGGACCCACCCCGCAACCAAGCCTCTCTTGGTGTTGGGTCTGAGACCAGTAAAAATTAAACATAGAACACCGCAGCAGTGAACTAAATAGGCCATGGGGCCAGAACTCCTAAGTGAGTGGAGGGGTTAGCAAATCCAGCCTACCCACATGAGAGTTCATACAGCACCTAACACAAGGGAGCCCAGTCCTGGATCAGGGCCCTAGGCACTACTGTAATAAATAAGAACAGCAGGGACAGGGATTTTGAATTGGGTTTTAGTTGTTCAAAATGAGCGGTTTACTTAGGAGGTGGGAGTGGAGGGAGGACCTGGGACATGGGCCGAGGAGGATGATGCCAGTCTATAGCTCCAGTCTCACAGCGGCTCTCAAAGCGCTTTGCAGACGTCAACCAAGGCCATTTGAGGTATTTCAAAAGGAATACAGACTAAACACGGCTGTTACTCTAATACCAGGATTGTCCTTCAGAAATTTCCTTCTAATTACAAGACTTTTGTCACCTCAGTATCTGATCGCCCATCTGAGCCAGGGTAAGAGTCGCCTCGGGTGGGGAGAAGTCAGCAGTATCCAGAGAGATGGGGACAAACTCCAGAAGCGGATGTGTTCTCCCAGATCATTAACTGTATATTTTATAGTAATGCCCAGAGGCCCCAGTCGGGCTCAGTGCTGTACAATGTGAGAGGCAGATACGGTACCTGCCCCAGGAAAGCTCACAAGTAACAAAGGATGGAGGAGAGCTACACAGACCACATCCCATAATAATTCAGATATTAGCTCCCACCCGGGGACAGCTCCATTGATTTCAGTGAAGCTAGGACCATTGATACTTGCTGAGGATATGCCCCCTTGTGTTTTCCTATCCGCTGCCCACTTGTCCCAGTTCTGGAAGGATGGGTTAACAGCTGCAGCTACCTTCCGATACTTCTCGGAAACCCCTTTGTTCTTGAGGTCCATCATCAGCCCGGGCAGGCTGTTGCTGCTGTGTCGCTCATAGTGCAGGGCGTAGAGCATCACCAGCCGCGTGGCATCGAACTCTGTCACCTTGGGGTTCTGCAGGAGCCGCCGCACGTTCTGCAACGATAGAAAGGGCCCCCCCCAAACACAGCGTTCAAAGGCTGGGGTTTTCTTGGCCCTGCGCATTAGACCGGCTTTTCTAGAGCCGTTGTGTAAATCACGTCTCAAACCTGCCACGTAGGGACAAAAGAGCCGCGTGTGTAGAAGGCAAAGTCTCAGGCAGTCTTTGGGCAGGAGGAAGCATGCAGCAGGGAGAGGAGGAGAAAGTGAAAGGGCATCAGAAGTACGCAACGGGAAGAGAAGACAGGGATGAAGTGAAGCACAAAAGGAAAGAGTTTTTGCACCAGAAGCAACAAAAATTTACTGCCATCACGTTTCCAACATTACAGTCTCATGCAATCCATCGCTTTAGCTGCTACAGGGACAGGATGTCATTGCAAACAGGAGGGGAGGCGTCCACTAGGGAGTCTGCCTAAGGGCTTGTCTACACTACAAAATTCAGTCAACCTAACTTACGTCGGCAGACAGCCATGGCAGTAATGACATTGCCGGTGCGTGTGTACGCTTTGCTCCTGGCGAGTCCTCACCAGGAGTGCTAATATCGATTGTACCGTCGGCATGGGGCCTTGTGGGAAGGCTCCTGAAAGCTGGTAACAGTCAGTGTAAGCAACGCACCATGTGTACGGACACTGCTCTGTCCTAAGTACGTTGACCGTGACTCGCCGCCCCTTGTGGAGGTGGGATTACTAAGTCACCGTAGCTGGGCAGTCACGGCGGCAGGAGGGAAATTGAAGTGCAGACACTTCAATAGTTAGGTTGATGTAAGATGCCTTGCCCTGTCCTAACTCCGTAAACAACATAGGCCAGGCTTAAGATGTGACCCAGGTTATAAAGAGTTTCACTACCCCTGCTGTATCCCACTAGTCCCCAAACTGTGGGGCATGCCCCCCCCAAGGGGGGGGGGGCGCAGAGGAACATTCAGGGGGCACAGCAGGGCCTGGGGCAGCCCCCATGGGAGGGTGGGACGTGCCACTCAGCCCTGCTCTGCCCCCAGCTCTGCTCCGGCTCTGCTCCTGGCCCTGCCCCCAGCCACAGCTCCAGCCTCAGGCCCCACTCCCAGCCGTGACGGCAGCTCTGCTCCCAGCCCTGGCCCTGACCATGGCTCCCAGGGGGGCACAGAGATTCCGTCATGGGTAAAAGGGGGGGGGGAGAACCACTGCATTAGCTACCTAGGGGTTGGAGATGGGCAATTATATTGTGTGTAAACTGGCCTTTGACCAGGATCTACCAGCCTAATGTTATTCCCTCCTGTTACAAGAAACAGCACCGTTACTTCTCTCCCCCACCCCAACATACATCCCCTCGTCAGCATGCACGGACTCTGCAAAGTTGTACAGTTGAGATAACGGCGCAAACAGCGCAGCCAAGTTGGCAGATGCGTAAGGGAGCATGGGGAAGAAGTAACCTCTTAACTCTCTGCTTTGTGCCGGATGCCAGAGAAGAGGCGTCAAGGACTGAACGAGCCTGCAGGCCTCCCATCAGGGGCAGATAACTGCTGTAGGATCCTCTGGACAGTACAAATCTGCCACAGGTTCAAAAGAAAAGCCAGCCTGTGTCAGCTCAAAGGCACAGAAATGAAAGCGGCTCCGTCTTTGTGATGAACTAGAGAATGTGATCTCCGAGCGTTCTAGCCCTTGCTAAGGCACTATGGGATATCCCCCAGAATCCACTAGCGCAGACAGTCAGGCAAAGCAGACGCACAAATCTGGTTGAGTCGAATTGCGAACAGGTTCCCATCTATGGACACAAGTTGCTGTAACTGGATTAGGTGACAACCACGAAAACGTAGGGTGAAATCCTGGCCCCACTGAAGTCAATAGCAAAACTGCTGTTCATTTCCATGGGCTTTCACCCACAGCGTGGATCCTGCAGGGATGTTTGCTTGCGGATTTTGGATCCCTGGCTGAGTGCATAGTGACAACGTCCATATAAGAAAGTGGGCAGCAGATGAAACAGAAAAGCAATTGTCCACACAGGAGAAGATGGGATTCAAAACCTTCCAGGCAGTCGTCTCTTCTAAGACTCATGTACAATGTCGCACTTACTAAGAGACCAGGAAAGGAATAACTGAAACGTACTGTACTCCAGGGGCCTAGGGCACAAGTGAAATTATCCACTGCTGAAATGACATCAGAGAGAGAACAATTCCTTCTTTCTTTGGTGCAGTGGGTTATTCTTCATTGTTTCTGTGGCCTTTCCCCTATGCTACCAGTAGGAGACCATGACAGAGAACTGCCTGGGGCAACGCAGCTAAAGATATACTGATCACAGGCATTTCCATGTTTTAAAAAAAAAAAAAAAGCCAACTGCGTGGTTTGCATGTATTTATTTTCTAGCGGCTTCACGAAGGTCCAGTCAGGCACTGGCTGTACCATAGTCTCCTTTAGCCAAGTGGCCGCAGCACACTCCAGGAGAGTTTGTGCAGTGGAAGTTGGAGCAATACTCCAAAAGGTTTCTCAAGTGTGCAGTTCATAATGTAGCTGCCCCGTTGCTCGTAAAGGTGCATCTCGGTCCTTCCAGGATTAGGGCCAAGGGGGGATTCCATTAATGGTAGAACAGTAAGAGGGGAGACCTCTATTTTCACGAGTGGGCCTTGATTCCAAGTGCCACCTAGGCATAGATTTTCAAAGGTGCCAAACGCCTGCAGCTCCTGTTGTATCCCAGGGCTGAACAGTTCCAATGGGAGCCAAATGGCCCCATATGTCTGAAGACGGGCACCCAAACACTGAAGCATCCTTGATTAAAGGCCACTTAAAAAAAAAAAGTCACAGCAGATCTTCCAAAGAGCGTATCTGTTGTCAGAAAACATGGCACGTTCTTACTCCACGTTTGTGTGCACTCAGGCCCTAAGTTCTCAGTTACAATAAAGGCCATTCACACCCCTCTGACTGCATTGAGGTTTCTTACGGTAGGTGCACCTCAGCCTTTGCACTCACCTTCAATCCTCTTCATACTAAGTAAGTAAAACCCATTTATTCATGTTGGAATATTGGTGACATCATAGCAGAATATTCGGAAGCTTTCTCAACCTGTTGCTGGCTTCAAACACTCCCAGTGTGATCTGCCCACACACCATCTATCCACCTCCTCGCTGGTCATCCCATACTATGGTGGTCCACCACCATTCCTTCCATGCTAACTTTAAAGGTTATTTCCGTCTCTGGGCCTGATGTGACCAAAATACACTAGCTTGCGTCTGTTAATTTCCAAACAGCAGAATCAGCTTCTCTCCAATAATGCTTCTAATAAGCTTTCATCTTGTTCTGAGACCAGAAGATAAGCACAAGATACCACATCTCAAAGGCTTACATTTCTTCTTGCCAGCAGCAGTAATTTCCCCATAATTTCTGCCATGGCAGTATAAATGGATTTTAGTGCAAGTCCTTGTCTACACACAAAACATTACACCATTTTAACTGTACCGGTATAGTTAAAACAGTATGTTCCCCTAGCGGGGCCCCAGTTAGTTATAGTAGACCAATATAAATGTGCTTATACCAGTACAGATTACATGGGAATGGAATGGAAACCAGTTATCCTGCTATAAGGCACTTTTACTGTGGAGCTCTTTGCCAGAGGATGTTGTGAAGGCCAAGACACTAACAGGGTTCAAAAAAGAACTAAATACATTCATGGAGGACAGGTCCATCAATGGCTATTAGCCAGGATGGGCAGGGCTGGTGTCCCTAGCCTCTGTTTGCCAGAAGCTGGGAATGGGCAACAGGAGATAGATAACTTGGTGGTTCCCTGTTCTGTTCATTCCCTCTGGGGCACCTGGCACTGGCCACTGTCGGTAGACAGGATACTGGGCTAGATGGACCTTTGGTCTGATCCAGTATGGTCGTTATTATGTTCTTATACCCGTGTACCTACATCCACAGTATACTGGTACAGCCCTTAACTATCTTGGCCCTGGTCTACACTGGGGAGGTGGTGGGGGGGTGTCGACCTAAGATACGCAACTTAGTCGGCGTATCTTAGGTCGATTTACCTGGCCGTGAGGATGGCGACAAGTCGACCACTGCTGCTCCCCTGTCAACTCCGCTTCCGCCTCTTGTGAGCTGGAGTTCCAGAGTCAACAGGGAGAGCATTCGGGGATCGATTTATCGTGTCTAGATGAGACCTGCCGGGGAGTGGGGGGGGGGGAACAACTATACACACACTTCTAACCAAAGTAGTTATGCAGATACAAAAACGGTGTGTAGACAAGACAGAGGCGAGAATTGGGCTCTTAGCATCTGTTTTACAGCCCCATCATTGCTACCTAACAAGTTCTTACTCCCATTTCCCCTGCAGGGACTGATACCGCTACAAGAGTGGAAGATGGAGTCTCTTCTGCCTCTTCCATCACTGAGTGCATCACCAGCTAACAGGATTTATTTTGTATTTTTTGCTAGCACTACGTGCTAGGCACTTGCCAGAATCTCTGTTACTGCTGATGGGAGAGGCAGAAAGATGTCAGCAGCTGCACGTGGTGCTGGCAATGAGAATTCAAACACTGATTTATAGACAGTTTCTAGATCACATTTGCTCCATGAGACAGCATAAGCCAGGGACTCCAAGGGAGTGTTTTAGCAAGTCCCTTTTATGGCTAAGACTCCACATTAGTACATCCTTATCAGAACATAGCAAATGAACACAAATCGACCAGGTTCACAGCTGGATTAAATCTGCATAGACTTCAACCTTATGATGCTGGTTTACACCGGCCAACATGGCTATATTGGGCTCTGTAGGTGCACATCTGAGGGTCTGGCCTACAGATTAGACTATTTGGACAACTAATATCCTATAGCCACCCTCTTGGAGCACTGAGCAACACAGATTAGAAAGACATGCATTTCAAATTCTTTGCAAATGCTGATCGTTAATGCAATACTTTCCTACTGTGTGACAGCATTTATTACACTATATAGCTTTCATTTTAGTGGAATCTCTTTTTGAAAGTCATTTTCAGTACATAGATCAGCAGCATTTTAAAAATGATAAATATGGAGTCTGTGGCTGCATTCTTTGTGTGTCATAACACAGTCACCCTCGGGGAAAAAAAAAAAAACCCAGCAGCATTGTTTAGTCAACAGCCTCAATGCATCATTATTGACGTACTGTCAGATTCTGGGGCAGGTCATGGAATTATATGAGCCATCAAGGGGTCAGAGCATCAGTCTCCACACTCAGCTGTCAAACAGAAGTCCCTTTTCAAGGTTTTCTGAGCCTTTTGCCAAAGAAATCCTTTATTTAAGCAGCTCCATACGGTTTTAAAAAAAAAAGTCAAACCCAAAATAAGGGCAGAGCTCAGAGGCAAGGGCTTCTCCCAAACACAGTCAGAGCACAGTTGGATTTCATGTTTTAGATTGTTGATTCTTTTCAGTTTCAAAGCTCTAAGGCCGTTTCGTTCTTTCAGCAACAGCCATAAGTGATGATGTTTGTTAATGCTACGTTACCAGTACTGTGTATACAAGGAAGAGCGGCAGAGACACTCGCAATATAGTTTTGCTCCATTTAGGTTGGTTTCAGATACAAATAAGAGGAATTGGGATTTCACAACATCTAACAGGAATACAAGTGCTTGGGATTTGTGTGCGTGTTAATGTTAATCATAGTGAGGTTCCTTCCAGCCGTACGTCAAGAGGTCATCTAGTCCAGCCCCATGTGCTGAGGCAGGACCGAGTAAACCGAGACCAGCCCTGACAGGGGTTGGTCGAACCTGTTTGTTAAAACCTGCAGTGATGGGGATTCCACGACCTCCCTTGGAAGCCTGTTCCTGGGCTGAATTAGCCTTGGAGATTTTTCCTCATATAATCTCAATTCCTAACCGAACTCTCCCTTGCTGCAGATTAAGCCCACTACTTCTTGTCCTCTCTTCAGTGGACATAGGGAATAATTGATCACCGTCTTCTTGATAAATCTTCGAATAGGGTAAGGACTGTTATCAGGTCTCCCTCAGTCTTCTCTTCTCAAGACTAAACATGTCTAGTTTTTTTTAATCCTTCTTCAGAGATCAATTTTTCTAAACCTTTTACCATTTCTGCTGCTCTCCTCTGGACTCTCTCCAGTTTGTCCACATCCCTTTTACACTGTGGCACCCAGAACTGGACACAGGACTCCAGCTGAGACTTCGCCAGTGCCAAGCAAAGTGGGACAATGACCTCCCGCAGCTTACATACAACACTCCCTCTAACACACCCTGGAATATTAGCCTTTTCCACAACAGCGTCACATTTTGGACTTATATTCAATTTGTGATGCACTATAATCCCCAGGTCCTTTTCAGCAATACTTACAACTAGCCAGATATTCCCCATTTGTAGCTGAGCATTTGATTTTCTCCCCCCCCCCAACCCCCCAAGTGTAGTATTTTGCACTTGTCTTTACTGAATTTCAGACCAATTCTCCAATTTGTTAATGAAAAGACGCTTGATTTTTTTTCGGTCTTAAGTCATTTCCTTGTGGCTTTGGAAACCCAAACCGTATGCATGGGGCATTCATCAGATGACTAATTTTAAGTCAAGGCAACTGACAGTTCTCTCACCACCTGCTTTATGTGAGCACAGCAAATTATACATGCCCTAGCTCACACAAGAGCTAAGTCAGACTTAGCACTTGGCTCAAAAGGAGCTCAGAAGCTACCCTCAGGGATTGAGAAATAACATTCTTGCCTCTAGCCTAGTAAATCTGATGTGGGACTCCCACTCCAAAAATATACATGCCCGATAAGGACGCTTGGGCATAGCTGCCACAGAGGGCAATAGAAATAGTTGGAGCTCTAGCAAAATCAACCCAAGTCCCCCAGCAAAGCACCCCATGAGCGTCTGTAAGCACCAAAGGTCCCACCATAGAGGGATGCTCAAATTTCATCCAACTGCTGGCTGCAGTGGCAGCTTGCCATGAGATGGGGGCTGCATATGATGAACGCACAGGCTAAGGACAGTTGTATTCCAGGGTCCTACTCTTCAGGCATTATTCAGACGCTTCCCAAATATAGCAACAGAGCATGTTCAGCTGATTGTGGCTTGCAAACTGTGACAACCATTTGTGTTAGTTATCATTACTCAAGATTCATACCTGTCTGAATTACATGGATGACTGTGGAGAAGCTAGTTCTACCATCCGAGGTCCCAGCCCCGTAGGCTCCATGTGCACAACTCCCACTGACGTTAGCACTAGTTCCACAAGCAGAAGGGCTGCAGGATCAACCCAGCTGGAAACGGATAAAGGAGGTTTGGCTTCTGGGCTTTGGGTTACCTGGTGAGCACTGGAGTGGTCATTCTGGCAGGCCAGTTCCTGCTCGACCTCCGACACCTCCAGCAGGTTCCGCTCACTGGCCAGCCGGGAGAGCTCCCCCACCACAGTCACGTGCTTCGATACCGTGCCCGACATCTTCTTGAACTGCGGGTAGTTCTCCACAAATGCCTGCAATGGGGAAATTGAAACTCAAACCTCTTGAAAATGGCAAGCAGAATATAGTGACCAAGACTTGCACTGGGTTTTCGTCAGTGCATTTCCACTGGCTTCAGTGGAGTTGCTCCTGATGTACACCGGCCCGAGTGAGATCAGTGCTGCAGGGCGGGTACTCCCGGTCTCCCCAGAGAACGTCTGCATGGTGTCCCCTGCAGGGGGAGCTCTGCAGCTTGAAGGAATCTTTACAGGGAGCAGCTGCTCTCAGTGGCTCACTCTCTTGGCACCCAGAGGATTTCCTAGTGGAAATCCACCCAGGTGTGGCTGCTACTTCAATTCTTGAACCATGGCCCCCGTTGCATGGCGCATTGGAGGTGAGCGGCTGTGCTGAAGAGGATTTTATTGAGACAGGGAGGAGGGTGCAGGTGTGGTAGTTATTTGTGTTGCCCTAGTCCTTGACCAGGACCCTGCTGTGCGAGGGCTGTACAAACACAGCCCAAAAAGACGGCTTCCACTCCCAAGGAGCCTACATGCCACAGGAGACTGAGTCACCAGGATCAGGGCACGAAGCAGGGATGTAGTAAATGCTGGTGATCTGCAATGTCCTGCAGTGGATTGTTTCTAAGATGCCTGATCAATCGCATACGTCCTCTTTACCTTCATGTCAGCTATGGACTCCAGCTTCTGCTGCTCCTTCGGTTTCCTCCGCTGGAAATCCTCCATTAGGTTCTTGATATTGCTCCCAATCTCTGCAAAGTTCAGGTACATGTTCTGTGGACAACAAACACAGGGGGATGGGAGCGAAGGCGGCTCCCAGGAGAGCTGGTCCCTTTGGAAATCACTGCCCCCAGCTCCCAAAGCTTTAGGAGGGTCTATTGCTCACCCTCAGAGTGCAGCATGGGAGTATGCAAACGAGCTGTGGGGTACAAAATGGTTTCATTTAGGCAGTATGAATGGGCACTAAAGCCCACCTGGGACACTGTTGGGGGGAAACTGAGGCACAGAGCGGAGACAGATTCTGCCCAAGGTCACATAGCGACTCAGTGGCAAAATCAGGAATAGAACCCAGCCCCCAATTTAGACTGCCTGAGAGCTCTCCTGCTCCATCACAGCACCCAGCTACCTACGTTGGCATAAAACTCGTCGTTCTCAGCAGACAGAACCACCTCCCTGAGATCCTTGCTGATGCCGGGTACTCGAGAGAGGTCAATTCGGTTGTTGTTAATCCCCAGCAGTTCATGGACCATGGCCTGGTACGTCCACTAAGAAGGGTGGAGGGGGTGGGAGGAGGAAAGAAGAGACAAACGTTTGACTTAAATCACAACCAATGTAAATCAAGACTGAAATATAATGGGCCTAATTTGTATTTACAGTAAGGCCCCTTTACACCACTCTGGCATATAAGGGCACACCTACATGGCAGCTGGGAGCAGGACTGTTCACTTGTGTACCTGTTCTAGCTGCACTCTAGCCAGCTTGCTAAAAATTTCAGTGAGGACACTGCGGTGTGGGAGGCCGGCTGCTGCAGCCCATGCTGAGGCCTGTCCCACGGCACTCTCACTGCTATTTTTAGCGAGCTAGCAAGAGTAGAGCTAGCATGGAACGTCTATATGAGCGGCCATGCGCACGTAGTCGGACCCAAAGGGGATCCTTAAAGTGAATTATGGTTGCACCTACTTTAAAGCACCCCTGCACTGTCAGAGACCTTAGTGTAAATGAAAATCAAGACCAAGGTTTTTTTAAAACAAAACTGACAATATTCCCCGATTCCTTACACCTTGTAAAATGGAAACTCCTCAGGCTGATGGCCAGCATCTTGTAACAGATATCACATTTATTATTGCTAATAAGTTAGCACCTTGGGACCCCAATCCAGGATCAGGGCCCCACTGTACCGACAGCCAGGAACACAGTCACGGCTCCAGACAGCTTGTTGTATTTGTATTCAAAAGCAACCAATGTACTGAAAAGTAAAGACACGAAGACGTGATACTGGAGCAGTGGGGATTAATATTCCTGTTAGAACCCATTTACTTGCTGCCGTCATCTCCCCATTCTCTGCCCGTGAACGGGAGTGTATTTTTGGCTGCAGAGACGCTGCTGTTATAGGCTGTACTGTTTCCTGCTTGCTCCTCTGCTTCTTATGCAGGAGGAAGAATGTGTGGTTTTGGAGATCAGTGCATTATATATTTAGCCCGAGAAGCCTAATGTTATCGGAAGGGAAGTTTGCCAGCTGATCAAAGCATTGACATGTTCGCCACCCCATTTACTCTCATCTGAATCTCTGCACTGGGGCTGAAGAAGTCTCTGTTCTCCTGGGACCTATCCTGCCTGCAGTCCTTAGCCCTACAAGCCAGGACTTTAAAACATAGGCTTCTGACACTGCCAGATCACTCTGGTCAACGAGCTAGAAGAGCCCAGGGCAGTAGAGAAATTCTTCCCTACCTTTTGATCTGAGTAGATGAAGTCACCCCACAGGCACATTTAGCATCTGGGGGGGGGCGGGAAACTGTCTACATGCTGAACGAGCACAGGAATGTGTCTAGAGAGACCTTCTTTAGAATACAGCTACACTAAACACAACTGCATCAGGGGACCAGGTTACTCCCCCATTCCATAACTAGTGCATGTCCCAGGGTTTAGATGATAGAGTCCCATCTACACTACAAACTGGTACAGCAGGAGTGGGCCAAGGAGTAGCCATACTGTAACCAGGTCTCCCGACACAGGTGTGTCTGAAGCATAGATGGGGCCTTACCGGTAAAAGGGGAGGTCAGTCTCCATGGCCCGCTCAGTCCTCGGCCTCTCTGCTGAAGTTCACTGCCAGCTGTGATGGTGGTTTGTGGCTGGGACACTGGCCCGTTGAACTGGACTGAGACTCAATGAACTCATTTCACGCAGGCCGAAGAGGCTAAGGGTTTACTGCCCCCACTGACCTGTGCCCTGCATGGGCACTGATTTAAATCCAGCACAGAAGCTCCTTTCCCAAAGCACTGAACCATCCAGTCAGCTGAGAAAATTCTCCCAGCCAGAAGGAGAAAAAGTACTGGATGAAAACGGAGGAGGTGTTTCAGCTCCAAGCAGCGTGTCCCACCATCAATACAGATGCCCTGGCTGCCCTGTGAAACAGCACTTCTGCAGAGACAGCCATTACCCAACCATCAGGCCGACTGGTGCCCGAACACATCCCGAAGAAATCAAAGGAGACAAATAACGGGCTGTTCAATGCCGAAGTCTGCAGCACGGCCACGGTGCTGCTCAAAAAACCACCACCCACCATGCTAGCGCTCATCCATAACGCAGCAGGGAGAACACGCGGATGCAAGGTCATTTGCTAGATGTGCTGCCAAGCACATGCTACAAATAATCCGTTAAGAGGGACACAGCTAAGACGTTTAGGCCCTGCATTTAAAGCATGTTTTACAATACACAAATGGCTGGAGTTTCAGGAAGCCACCTGGATCTGCCACTGAAGCCAGCAGGATCTGGTGATGCTGAAAACTAGGCCAGAGATGGTGAGAATTTTTTAAGGAGGGAACCGTGCTTTATTTGAAATCTTTCCCTTGAGTGCAGTGAACCCAAACCCCAGGACCCTGAGCTAGTGCCAGAGAGCCATGGGCACGTCAGCATCCCACCTTCCTATCCTCTCCCATCCCTTCCAGCTGAGCAAGAGCTACTGTCACCTGGTTCAGAAGTGGGGTGATGGCATCATCGGAGCGGTCCAGAATAAGCAGTAATGGAGGAACTTCAGTGCGCCGGAAATCAAACAGCTCGTATTCTTTAGTAATCACTTGCTGGAGGGGCAGAAAGCCAGATAAGTCAGTCCGTCCTAACTGCAGAAGAATTCCCTGCAGCCTGGGTGCTAGGGAGTGAGAAGCAAATAGAGAGTGCAAGAGAGAGCGTGCTGTTCTAAGTAAGCACTGCTAACGGAATTTTGCCAGCGTTGTCAAAAAGCTTGACAAGAATCTATTTGTTAATCTCCACAACAACCCTAAGAGTTAGGGAACAAGCATTCTGCCAGTTCCACAGATGGGGAAACCGAGGCACCGAAAAGGGAAGCGACCTGCCCAACGTCATGCAACAGATCAGTGGCACAGCCAGGAATCTCAAAGAAGAGCAGCTCCCAAAAGAATATTTTTTTCTCCTCTTAAACGCTGCAGATTTGTGACAGGAAGTACAAGTAGATTGCCAGGATCAGTGCAGGGCAATTCCATACCTTGACACATTCAGCGAGTCTCTTTGCAGGATCAGAGGAGAGCTGGTAACGAATCATGGGGCACTTCTTCAGAGACAGAAGCAAAGCAGTCAGCCCTTGGGCTGTTCTGGACAGCTGGGCCAGATCCCAGCTGCGACCCTGAAAATGAAGAATACTCCTATAAAGAACCTCCAGTACTGCCCTGTACCCCTCTTCTGGTTAACTTGAGAGAGAAATGGAGGCTCCCCAAGCCTAATACAGAAGAAAAAGGAACAGCAATAGAGGAGAAAGTTTGTGCATTCACCTCAACTAAGGCAAATTGTAGGCCTCCACAATGCCAGTTAAGTTAAGGGCACTGTCAGAATAAAGTATTTTCTTTAGTTACATTGGTCCTGCCTCAGCTTCAGGGGAGCGGGGGGAAGGGAAGGAGACCAGATGACCTCAAAGTCCTTTCCAACCTTACATTTCTATGATTCTTCATCTGCTTTGAGAAGCACAGCACAGATGATGACAACCCAGAGAGTATTAACAATCTAGGCCCTGATCCCACAAAACTAGTTCTCAGGCCAAGTATGAGGTCCCACTTACGGGACTCTTCACGGAAGCCAAGTTAAGCTCACGCATTAAGCGTTTGCAGGATCAGGGCCTTCGTCTACTTTGTTCATCCCCCTCGGCCCTGGAGGGAGAAACTCAAGCTGAGCAATTTTCCCTTTGGAGATTCTTGAACCCCAGCACAACAGCTGGGGCATTTGGCTTCTTCACATCACAGGGGATATTTATACTTTGTTTTTTTAAAATGGCTTCTCAACTTTAAAAAACAAAAACAAAAACATGCATAAGACATTTTGGTTTGTGTTTGGTTATGTCAAAATTTGCCTTGCCTAGCAAATCCTAGCTTTTGCTCTGAACTACTGGCCATGGCCCTTGAAACAAGCTCCTTTACTACTGAAAAAACACCGGTGCGATTTCCCCCAAATGCTGAACGAAACATACGCTTAAAGCTAGCACAGTGCCGAGGAAGAAAGAGCAGTTTTTAACGATACTGTAAGATCAAAAGAGGCCTTGAATCTGCCGTCATTGAAGTCAGTGGGAGTTTTACCAGTATCTTCAACTGGAGAGGGATCCTTTAGATGAGCACAGCTGCTAGCAAAAAAAAAAAAAAAAAAAAAAAAGAGACCACTGGCTTGTGATTCCTGGCAACTGTGTCAGGAAAGAGGGAACACAGTCACCATTTGCCAAAGCAGCTGCTAATTTGGGGTGTCACGGTTTTTGGGGTGCTCAGCCTGAGGCCAGATTTTCAGAAGTCCTGAGCAATCCAAACTGAAATCAAAGGAAGCCGAAAGTGCTGATACTTCTGAGTTCAGGATGAAGGGGTCTCAAATTGAGTGTCCAAAACGTGACACACAACACAAATTAGAGGATGCTTTTCAAAACTATCTAGTCGTGTGTATTATATATATATATATATATATATATATATACACACACACACAGTCCCCCTCAGTTAGTGTCCAGAGCCTACTTTCGAAAGCAGAGCAGTAGCTCTGCTCAATATTTACTGGACACAGCAAAAAAAAAAAAAAAAAAAAAGTATTTAGGATTAACTAATTTGGATCTTCTGAAGTATTTTATTTCAGTGGTGTCACACAGGCCTCAACCCTGCTATCTTTACTCATGTATCACCTCTGTCGATTTCAATGGGAGTTCTTCCTGAGTGAGGACTGCCAGAGGCACATAGGAATTGCCAGACTGGATCAGACCGAAGGTCCATCTAGCCCAGTGTCCTGTCTCGGACAGTGGCCAGCACCAGCTTATTTAGAGGAAGGCACAAGAAACCCACATTAGGAATCAACCTGATCTCTACTGGCTTATACCCTGAAGTGTGAGGTTTAATAAGCATGAGGACCTTAGTATTTTCTTAATTGACTCCTCTCTTTTTCAGGTTCCTTGCCTCCTCCAGGAGATGATCTAGGAGGTTTCTAAATAGCCCTGTGTGCATCTTCTCTCATTCTTACTGCTTGGTCTTTGTCTTATGGAATGTTTCTTATTGAAACCGTCCAGGTGGCTGCATGGAAGACAAACACCATGACACTTGAGAGGTTAAGGTGTTGGCTTGACAGCTGTGGGGTTTGAAGTCCACTGAGCAGGTACAGCAATTCAGGCTCAAACTACCCCATCTCTGCCCTTCAGGGAGTCCATTTAACACTAAGTGGGAGGACAATTTACATAGCACTTCCAATCCATGGCCTTTCATTTATTGACAAAGCGATCAGCTCCACAGCAAGGGTTGCAAGTTATAACAGCCTAGCTTCCCAGCTGGGCAACTGGCCAGCATGTTCAGATAGTTATGACCATGTTCTGGTGTCCTTCAATCCCAGCTATGAGCCAAAATGAGACCCTAGAGGAGGGTTAGCCTTTTCCATACCTGGCAGCAGCCCAGGAGGTTGAGGGAAAACACGTGTGGATTCACGGCAATGTAATCTCCATAGAACTCCTGCCAAGAAACACAAGTCAATATAGTTAACGTCACACCAACAATAACGCCTCTTATGCAAGCAAATGTTTCAAACACCAGCTATTCAGTCCAAACATACGAACATAGGGACACGTCCTTAAAGTCGTAAGTGATTCTCAGCCCCAATGACTCCCAGCGATCCCCACTCCTCCCCCCACAACTCTCAGAGTTCCTATCTCTGCTGGCATTTCCAGTCTGTTCCTGACATATGGCTTTTACTCCACCTTTTGCATGTATGCCTGCCAGTCACCACTATGGGAGACACGTACCAACCCTGCTCTGGCAGAGGAGCTTGGAAGCAGGAGCTCTGGCAGCTCAGGGCAGATTATTTTTAGACAGTGTATCCATTCTTCTAATCCTAAATTGCTGCATAGTGTTGTTGTGCGCATACTGTTCAATGGCTGCAGAGGTTATTCCCCAGAGGTGGCTGCAGCGACAAGTATATGTAGCCTGTTGATCAACTCCAAGAGTACTTCGGGACGGAAAGAGTCATGTAAAATATTAGATAATATTACACGCACCTGAACTTCTGCCACAACTTCCTGCTCGTCAGCCTCAGCCAGTGACTTTACATCACTCTTACTGATCACATTACTGAAATCTGAAAGGAGACACGCAAGACACAGCGGGTCAGCAACGGCTGGGGTCCGAAGTTAATGCGTAATACGCGAAAGGACTTGCTGAAGAAAAAGTAATCAAGAGTCTTTCAGTTGAAAAGTGTAGAGGTCGAATCATAGCAGGGATGCATTTGACCCTCAGTCTGCATTCATTATGATAATTAATACACAGTCTAGATATTTATTATAACCCGATTTCCCCCCCCCATTAATGTCACGTGATGATTCAGGGAGCTGGGCTGATGGCCATAGAGACTGCAGCTTTCCTGCGTTTAGACACAGAGGGTCCAGCATGGACGGTGGCACAGGAGGTTTCCCCTTCATGTTGCTCCTGATCTAACGTGTGCCCAATAGGGCACTTGGCACTACAGCGGCAGCACCAAGCCCATGATATGCTCAATATACCAATAACAGGTTTCAGACTGGACTTCTACATAGAGTGCTTCCGCCGACGTGCACGGGCTGAAATTGTGGAAAAGCAGCATCACTTGCCCCACAACCTCAGCCGTGCAGAACACAATGCCATCTGCAGCCTCAGAAACAACTGACATCATAATCAAAAAGGCTGACAAGGGAGGTGCTGTTGTCATCATGAATAGGTCGGAATATGAACAAGAGGCTGCTCAGCAGCTCTCCAACACCACTTTCTACAAGCCATTGCCCTCTGATCCCACTGAGAGTTACCAAAAGAAACTACAGCATTTGCTCAAGAAACTCCCTGAAAAAGCACAAGATCAAATCCGCACAGACACACCCCTGGAACCCCAACCTGGGATATTCTATCTACTACTCAAGATCCATAAACCTGGAAATCCTGGGTGCCCCATCATCTCAGGCATTGGCACCCTGACAGCAGGATTGTCTGGCTATGTAGACTCCCTCCTCAGGCCCTACGCTACCAGCACTCCCAGCTACCTTCAAGACACCACTGACTTCCTGAGGAAACTATAATCCATCGGTGATCTTCCTGATAACACCCTCCTGGCCACTTGGATGTAGAAGCCCTCTACACCAACATTCCACACAAAGATGGACTACAAGCCGTCAAGAACACTATCCCCGATAATGTCACGGCTAACCTGGTAGCTGAACTTTGTGACTTTGTCCTTACCCATAACTATTTTACATTTGGGGACAATGTATACCTTCAGATCAGCGGCACTGCTATGGGTACCCGCATGGCCCCACAATATGCCAACATTTTTATGGCTGACTTAGAACAACGCCCCTACTCTACTTGCGCTCTATTGATGACATCTTCATCATCTGGACCCATGGAAAAGAAACCCTTGAGGAATTCCACCATGATTTCAACAATTTCCATCCCACCATCAACCTCAGCCTGGTCCAGTCCACACAAGAGATCCACTTCCTGGACACTACAGTGCTAATAAACGATGGTCACATAAACACCACCCTAGACCGGAAACCTACTGACCGCTATTCCTACCTACATGCCTCCAGCTTTCACCCTGACCACACCACACGATCCATTCTCTACAGCCAGGCTCTGCGATACAAGCGCATTTGCTCCAACCCCTCAGACAGAGGCAAACACCTACAAGATCTCTGTCAAGCTTTCTTACAACTACAATACCCACCTGCAGAAGTAAAGAAACAGATTGATAGAGCCAGAAGAGTTCCCAGAAGTTACCTACTACAGGACAGGCCTAACAAAGAAAATAACAGAACGCCACTAGCTGTCACCTTCAGCCCCCAACTAAAACCCCTCCAATGCATTATCAAGGACCTACAACTTATCCTGAAGGATGACCCAACACTCTCACAAATCCTGGGAGACAGGCCAGTCCTTGCCTACAGACAGCCCCCCAACTTGAAGCAAATACTCACCAGCAACCACATACCACACAACAGAACCACTAACCCAGGAACCTATCCTTGCAACAAAGCCCATTGCTAACTGTGCCCACATATCTATTCAGGGGACACCATCACAGGGCCTAATAACATCAGCCACACTATCAGAGGCTCGTTCACCTGCACATCCGCCATCATGTGCCAGCAATGCCCCTCTGCCATGTACATTGGTCAAACTGGACAGCCTCTATGTAAAAGAGTAAATGGACACAAATCAGATGTCAAGAATTATAACATTCATAAACCAGTCGGAGAACACTCAATCTCTCTGGTCACGTGATTACAGACATGAAAGTTGCGATATTACAACAGAAAAAACTTCAAATCCAGACTCCAGCGAGAGACTGCTGAATTGGAATTCATTTGCAAATTGGATACAATTAACTTAGGCTTGAATAGAGACTGGGAGTGGCTAAGTTATTATGCAAGGTAACTTATTTCCCCTTGTTTTTTCCTACCGCCCCCCAAGACATTCTTGTTAAACCCTGGATTTGTGCTGGAAATGGCCCACCTTGATTATCATACACATTGTAAGGAGAGGTTTCAGAGGAACAGCCGTGTTAGTCTGTATTCGCAAAAAGAAAAGGAGTACTTGTGGCACCTTAGAGACTAACCAATTTATTTGAGCATGAGCTTTCGTGAGCTACAGCTCACTTCATCAGATGTATACCGTGGAAACTGCAGCAGACTTTATATATACACAGAGAATATGAAACAATACCTCCTCCCACCCCACTGTCCTGCTGGTAATAGCTTATCTAAAGTGATCAACAGGTGGGCCATTTCCAGCACAAATCCAGGTTTTCTCACCCTCCACCCCCCCACACAAATTCACTCTCCTGCTGGTGCTAGCCCATCCAAAGTGACAACTCTTTATGATATAAGCTATTACCAGCAGGAGAGTGGGGTGAGGGGGGGAAGAGAAAACCTTTTGTAGTGATAATCACCCATTTTTTCATGGTTTGTGTGTATAAAAAGATCTTCTATACTTTCCACAGTATGCATCCGATGAAGTGAGCTGTAGCTCACGAAAGCTTATGCTCAAATAAATTGGTTAGTCTCTAAGGTGCCACAAGTCCTCCTTTTCTTATATCAATAACAGCGTCTCTTGCAATGCGTTTGTATAGCACACAGCACAACGTGGCCTTGATCTCAGCTGGGGCATCTAGGCACCACTGTGTTCATTTATTTCTAATCTGTATGGAGCCACCACCACTTTTAACTGTACTTCCCCCCCCACACACACAAAATCGAGACAAGCGTTTCTTCTCTGGCATCGTGTTCATACAGATCAACAATGACACCTAGTGGCTGGTTGAGCCCATTCCCATGAATCTCAAGGCAGAAAGAAAAAGGGTTGGGAACCTGTTTTTTTACAGGACTGAATTTAAACCCAATACTATGTGCGACTAGATCACTGAAGTTCCAGAATTACACAGCATGAACACAATACTAGAGAAACACCAGGCTGGGCCAGCAGTCAGTGAAAGGTTCAGTCTAGTTGTTCTAGGCACCCATGGACCAATACATTCCACTACATTCTAACCTTGGCTCTGGCTCAGATCCAAAGCGAAATAATGTCACTCTCTCAGCCTTTCTACCTCAGTTTCCCCACCTGTAATATAGGGATGGGAATGGCCTACTTTACCCCCAGTGGGAGGTTTAATTCATGTCTGTAGAGTGTTGTGAAGATGTAAAGCCCTAGAAGTGTGAAGTGTTATTGCGTATTGTGGAATGTACCGCCAAGTGGGGTTAGCGTTCACATTGAGTATTGCTGATGTGGGCAGCTGAGAGCGAGATCTGGTTGTAAGATCGTGATACTAGGAATCACAACCCCTGGATGCTGTTTCTGAACATGACACTTGCTTCTCGTGTGAAAGCTGATTCACCTTTCTGTGCCTCAGTCCTCCCACTGGAGAGCGACCCACTGCCCAATTGCTTTGAGATCCTTGGATGAAAGAACTTTGAAGGACAATGCATTTTCAAGTGCCTTTGATGAGCTTGAAGTACAGCCTGGAAGGAGGAGCAGCTCGGCATGAGGTTACTTGGAGGGGGCAGAGGAGGGACATATTGCAAAAACTCAAGGCTAGTGGCACATAGAAGGGGAAACAACATCTAAGGGCTTGTGTCTATGTAATGCTTTAACAGTATAGTTAAAGCGGTACAACCCCCTAGTGTGGCCACAGTTATACTGGTGCTTATACTAGCATAGCTTATTCCTGTAAATTTTGGGGGAAAATACACTAACCCCGTATAATCCCTATATAGATCAGGCCTTCCCGAGGTGAGACTGAGGATCAGAAGGCTGCTGAATAAGAACAGAAACAAGGACTTTAAGAATGCTTCGGGTTTAGAAGAAAATATTTGCATCATATCAGAGTCTGCCTAGAATGTCTGAAATAGTTGGTGAACCAGGACATACTTACAAATATAATAGATGCTGTACTTGGGCCTCCGCAGCTCCTGAATGAGGTATTCCACATTCTCCTTGATAAAAGGGAAACCCAGATGGAGAAGAATCAGAAAAGGTCCCAATAATTATGCAATAGGTGATTAGACTAATTAATGCTTCTAAGCTGGCAGCACTCTGGATCTGATGCTGCAAATCACTATGCTCTTGCTAAAATTACTGGAGGCTGGGGTTTTGCAGCACCACCCTTCTGGGAGCGCTCAATACCAGAGCCGGGTGGAAAATGGTTGGCCTGTCCTTTGACTATTTTCAAGATATTGAGAATTTTTCCCCTCCCAAATCAGGACAAAAGCCAAAATTCTGAGAATCTTCCCAAACTGAAATTCCAGGGGGGACAAAATTCAATTTGGGGCAACTGAAGTGGACTTGCAAACTATAATTAGCTTAAATTTTTTTTTTTTAATGTAGGCATTTCAAACTGGGATTTTTTATTGAAACTAGTCAAAACTAAATGTTTCAACAATTTCTAAACTTATTTTCCAAAAAAATTGCGAGTAAGAGAATTCATCAAAACTGGCCCTTCACTGCTAAAGGTTTTGGTTCTGACTAATTGGCATTTTCAGACCAAAAAAGTTTGAAAAACCAGCTCTTCTCAATGTTTAAGGACTCGTTCCAGCAAGAGGCCAGACTGGAATTCTCCTCACTCGTAGGAGAGGGAAAATCTACAGGAAGGACCTCCCCGCAAGCAGCCCTGGATGCAGCTGACTTGGCTGCTAGGTTCATGTCCTCCACAGTGGCCATGCATCAGAGCTCGTGGCTCCAATCCTCTGACCTCCCTCAGGAGGTACAGACCCTCCAGGACCTGCCCTTTGAGGCTTGTCTATCGACCTGACTTTCAAAGGAACTCACAGCCAGATTTCCATGTGCTCAGCGCCACAACTGAAACCAAATTTTCAAGAGAGCTCAGCTCCCATTTAGGCACTTAAAGCAGGGCCAGGTTCTCCTGAATGCTCAGTAGCCTCCAGGGACACAGTTAAGAACAGATTTTCAAGAATTCAGCCCACAATGTGCACCTGACTGCTGAGCTCATCTGAAAATCTGGCCATTTATTTGGGGCCTAGCTGGGCTCTTTTCAGTATTGTGACCTACATTTGTGCTAAGCAGTATTAATAAAAAAGAAATATTAAGCCATGAGGCAGATGTCTCTCTCCCTCTGGGAATTAGACATGGGAAAGGCCTACAGGATCATTGAACCCATCCTGCAAGTTCAGCAGACAGACCCCCAGCTACTACAGTGAGCATTACAGACACGTATTATAGCGAGTATTATAGACTAAATAAATGTGCCATTTTGCATGGTGGGTTGTGTCCCACAGAATTCTGTGTTTCACAGTACTACTGCTCCCACATGATGCCACCTCTCATGATTTTGCATTTTTCTTAAAGCCCCAGCTCCTGGAGTCATGTGACTACATGAAAATTCAGTTGTCAATTTAAAGAAAAGAAGGAAAGAGTACGTTTCTAACCCCTTGTTGTTGAAGAGAATAGCTTGAAAGCATGAACCTTAAAGGTTCTAAAATCAGATGGAAAATAAAAGACCTAAAATGTATTATTTTTTTAAAATCTCATGATTGATGTTTGAATGCTTTGAGTTAGCAAAACTACTCCAAATCCAAATTGGAGCAGGGTTTGTTCCTTCAACTTAGGCAAAAGGCTGAGTATGCTTGGTAAGAAGTTACAGGGAATTGTTGGTGGCTTTCATTATCTAATTAATTTCATGAATGAAAGAATTTTCATCTTTGCAAAGACTACCAGGAAATTTACCAGCCCAGGTATAACATCAACTCTCCCACACTGTATAATGGGGACAATGTAGGGGTTGGGGGGAGAAGGGGAGGGTTAAAGGGGTGGGTTTTTTTTGTTTTGTTTTTTTTAAAATTACTCACTCCCGGAAAGCAGACAAGGTAAAGTCTGTACAGCAATCAAACTAAGGCATTGATCGTGAAACACAACCTTGTGCTTAATTTTATACACATCAGACATCCTGATGAATTCATTAGGACTGCTCAGAAGCATAAAGCTAAGCACGTGGGAAAGTATTTCCAGGATCAGAGCCTTAGATAGCAGCATCATCTGCTCAGCTTGTATGTAGGACCTGGGCAGAGCAAATACCAATGCAAACAGCAGCTGCTTTTACAAAAGTATCTTACCTTTGTCGGTCGCAAAAAACAGATTGCTTTCAAGTGTTTCATAGTCTCTCTGTTCAAAGAATCGATACGCTCAAAGAGGTAAACTTCCTTCTGAAGGATTTCTGACTGTGTATACACCATGCTCACGATACTGGTCTGCAGGGAGAATGAAGGAGAAACCAAGTCATGTCAGCTTGCTGGGGCAGGCTCATGAGATACCGAGACAAGATACCGTTGACTATTGGTTAGTGCACAGGACTGGGAGTCAGGATTCCTGGGTTCAGTTCCCCCTGGCTCTGCCGCTGATTTGCTGTGTGACCCTGGATAGATTATTTCACCTCTTGTACCTCATTTTCCCTGGATAGTTCATTGCAATTTTATGTCAATACGCACGTGTGCGGCAGCTGTCGGTACACTGGGCTAACATTGTTAAGCATGGCCTCAGCAGTGTTCATGGAGCAGGTCTGGCAGAAGCTTTATTGATGCTTGAGAGCAGCCACCTCACACAAATCCTTGATACCCCCATTCTCCAACCTGCTCCTCGTCCCACTAAGGAAGCAGGGCAGAACTGCTTACAGCCTGCTCCCTAGCCCGGCACTGGCAGGGTATTCCCCCAGGAGCTAACTGCTTAGGGAGGGACATCAAGTTTGCGAATTATTAGAGCCAAGATGAGGAAAGGAGGAGGGTCTAGGAAGCCATAAACTCCCTCTACTCCCTGGCAGGGCATGCACTAAAGTAGCAAAGAGATCTTTATCTTCCTGTAGATCCACACCATCACAAGAGGAAGACTCCAACCTGTGGTCAGGGTAGAAGCCAAAGACAAAATGACAGAGACAAAGGAGATGCCATTGTAAATATAGAAGCCATAGGGGCTTAGCTCACCGTTTCTTTATCCATCAGGAGGACCTTCATCCCAGGCCCGCTGTCTTCAATCATCTTGGACACATATTGCTTCACTGCAAAGACTACATTCATTTTCACAAGCGATTGCTTTCCCCCTCCCTGCCCCTTCTGCAGTGGGTAATACTAGGCTAGGCACTGAGCAACCAACTCCTCCTTTCTCCTGTGCAGCTAGCTGCTTTCCTTCCTTGTTTCCTCCTATTGCAGCACTGGGAGTTGTAGTTCACAAGGAGGAGGAATGTACTGCCAAGCAACACCCATCCTCTTTTGTAGGAAGGGGTTGCAACTACAACTCCCAGCAGCCTCAGCACAAATGCATTCAATTTCCTGCAGCGTGGGTGTGTTTTCAATGTACTTTACACTGTGGAGCTGTCAAGTCTTTCTCATATGGAAGGGGGATACTACACTGGGGCTTGACTTGGGAACAGTGTTTAAAGGAGCACGCTCTTGCAATGAAGCATTTTGCTGCATGATTCCTTGAGATGCAGCAAATCACCCTCAATGATATTATCACCACTTGACACCTGGCATCATTATGGTAGCTTAGAGGGGGTTTTCTCCCTTTTGGCCCTGAAGATCATCAGAATCTAAACTTTATTTAGGCTTCCAGACAAACAGCGCAGAGGCTGTTGCAGTCATTGAACTACAAGACAAACAGTTGCACAGAATCCCGAATGACAATTCTCCCACAACCCTTAATTCTATTATTTTTGGCCTAAAAAGCTCTAGTCTGAGCCCTGAGAAGCTGCACAATTTTGACAGTCAACCTGCGAGAAAACAACGGCATGCCTAATACCTGGAGAGAAAAAAAGAGGTGTGTTATGCTGACTGCTGCGTGGCTCTTTGATCTATGGACAACTGCAGACCTCATTAAAGCTGATGGGTCGGCTAACCACCCTTCTTTCAGGCCAAATGGAAGGAGCAATTAAACGCCCCTTTGGAGAGTGATAGTTGGAAATGGTAGGAAGCCACAGCCCAAGACAATGGGCTGAATGGCTAGGATGGCAGAAGCTAAGCTCTATGTGTTTCCTGGGGAAAGATTGCAAACACTGGGCAAGAGAAGATGTGATGAGTGTGGCCCTGGGACAAAGCCAAGAGACAGAGGTTCTTTTGGACACAGTACTCAATAGAAGGGCAGACCTACATTTCTGAGCAAATTGCTATTGTTTGTTTCTATTGTGTTTAGGGAAACAGGACTTTGTGTACATTCTTTGTAAATAAACAGGATAGCACCAAAGAAATATCTGACTCCTAATTTCTCCTCTTAACAGAAGAAACCTGCCAAAGTCCCGAATATTGACTAGGTGCTTGGGCCAAAGGGGGTTGTATAAGGGTTGAGCAACAACCTTGAACTTCCGTTGACTCACACTGAGGAAGGAGAGTAAACCTCCCCCATATGCTGCTCCTGTCCCCCCGTGCCAATCCTCCCTGCTGCTCCTGCAGCCCCCCCAGGGCCAAGCCCCCCAACTGCTCCTGTCCCCATGCCAATCCCTCCTGCTGCCCCTGCTCTCCAGTGCCAAGCCCCCCGACTGCTCCTGCCCCCCCATGCCAATCCCCCCTGCTGCTCCTGCTCCCCACAGCCAAGCCCTGACTGCTCCTGCCCCCATGCCAATCCCCCCTGCTGCTCTTGAGCACACACCCCAGTGCCAAGCCCCCCCATAGGCTGCTCCTGCCCCCTCCGTGCAATCCCCCTGCCGCTCCTGTAGCCCCCCAGTGCCAAGCCCCCCATAGGCTGCTCCTGCCGCCCGTGCCAATCCTCCCTGCTGCTCCTGCCCCGCAGTGCCAAGCCCCCTCATAGGCTGCTCCTGCCCCCCCGCTTCTCCTGCACCCTGTGCCAATCCCCCTCCCCAGTGCAAAGCTCCCCCATAGGCTGCTCCTGCCCCCCCATGCAATCCCCCACCGCTCCTGTAGCCCCCCAGTGCCAAGCCCCCTCATAGGCTGCTACTGCCCCCTGCTTCTCCTGCACCCCATGCCAATTCCCCCTCCCCAGTGCCAAGCCCCCCCAGGCTGCTCCTGCCCCCCCCGTGCAATCCCCCTGCTGCTCCTGCCCCCCAGTGCCAAGCCCCCCCCAGGCTGCTCCTGCCCCCCCCGTGCAATCCCCCTGCTGCTCCTGCCCCCCAGTGCCAGGCCCCCAGGCTGCTCCTGCCCCCCCGTGCAATCCCCCTGCTGCTCCTGCCCCCCAGTGCCAAGCCCTCCCCAGGCTGCTCCTGCCCCCCCCCTGCAATCCCCCTGCTGCTCCTGCCCCCCAGTGCCAAGCCCCCCCAGGCTGTTCCTGCCCCCCCCGTGCAATCCCCCTGCTGCTCCTGCCCCCCAGTGCCAAGCCCCCCGGCTGCTCCTCCCCCCCCTCCCCCTCCCCGTCCACCCCCCGGCTGCTCCTGCCCCCCCCCGTGCAATCCCGCTGCCTCTCCTGTAGCCCCCCAGTGCCAAGCCCCCCATAGGCTGCTCCTGCCCCCCCGTGCCCCCCGCTTCTCCTGCCCCCACCCCCCCCGGTGCCCCCCGTGCAATCCCCCTCCCCAGTGCCAATCCCCCCATAGGCTGCTCCTGCCCCCCCCGTGCAATCCCCCTGCCGCTCCTGTAGCCCCCCAGTGCCAAGCCCCCCATAGGCTGCTCCTGCCCCCCCCCGCTTCTCCTGCACCCCGTGCCAATCCCCCTCCCCAGTGCCAATCCCCCCCCATAGGCTGCTCCTGCCCCCCCGCTTCTCCTGCCCCCCGTGCCAGTCCCCCCTCCTCAGTGCCAAGCCCCCCCCCGCGCTACAGCCCCCTCCCCCCCGCGGCCTCGCCCTCCCCCAGTTCCAGCCCGGGCCGTTGGAACCGGCGCCTCGAGCGCGGAGCGGCCGTTGCAGAGCGAAGCTCCGCCGCCTGGGCCGGGTGGGTGCGGGGCGTAGGGCGGGAAGAGACAGGCCTGGGGGGGGGGGGGGATATGGGGATTTTCACTATGCCCCCCCCAAATCCCTGGGGTGAATGAGGGAGCTTTGGGAAGCCCCCAAGTCCCTGGGGTGCATGGGGGTGTATGGGGAGCCCCCAAATTCCAGGGGAAGCTCTGGGGAGCCCCCAAATTCCAGGGGTGCATGGGGGCGTGGGGGTTTCACTATAGCCCCCAAATTCCTGGGTGAATGGGGGAGCTGTCAATGCCTCCCAAATTCATGGGGGTGAATGGGGGGATATGGGGAGCCCCTGAAATTCCTGGGGCGTGTGGGGCAGCTATGGGGGTTTCACTGTAACCCCTTAGGAGATAACTAAAGTGGGGGTTGTGAAGGAGTCTCATTATAACCCCTGAAATTATTGGGGTGCAGTGGGGTTTTGCTTAAGCTACTCCCCAGATTCCTGGTTACGAATAAGAGGGGGGGCTGTGAAGGTTTTACTATGCCCCTCCCAAATCTCTGAGTGTGGTTAAGGGGGAGATTGGGGATGTTTCATCCCCACCCATTACATGGGAGGAATTCATATGAGATCCTCCTGTTGCCACCCCACAAATTACAGGGAGGTAAAGAAGGATGGGGTGAGCTTGTCTTACAGCTTCCTCCACTCCAAATTCCAGGATGAAGACCAGGGTGGGGAATTGGGGTTCTCCCTTTAGCACCCCACCCCCCAAGTTCATGAGGAGTTCTGGTCATCTAGCTCAACTAGTTAGCTCAGCTCCTGGAAAGTGAAGCTATGGACTACCCCCACAAGTACTTATCCAAGGGTCCAGGAGGGTTTGGAAATCCCACACCAAAGCTGATCTATGGATTTTGTTTTACTTAGCTCTTAGAAAAGGACCTGATAGGGTATGAAGGTTAAAAATTGTAGCATCCCTACAAGGAAGGAATAACTGTAGATTGTAGCCTAAACTCATCTCTGTTTCTGATTTCAGGTTCCACTCTCAAAATGCCATTACTTGAAAAACAGGGTAAGTTCAAATCCTTGGATCTATTTATGTAAGGTGTCTCAAACGGCAAGGCGCCAGGCCAAAATGATAGTTGTTAAAATCACTCTTCAGGAATGACAAAATAATCAGTACTTTCCAATCAGTAATTTATTTCCAACATAATATTAGTCAACAAGCAACTACGGATGAGAATTTAGGGTCCAATTCTGCAAGGTGCTGAGCATCCTCAACTCCCACTGAAGGCAGTCTCAGAAGAGGTATTCAACATCCCAAAGGATCAAGCCCTTAAGAAGCCTTAGACCTGATTCTCCATTCACTCACATTGTTGTACATTAGGAATGATTGCATTTAAATAATTGGGGATACATCAGTGTGAGTGAAATCTGAACTCAGGCCCTTGGCTACATAAGTCTCCAGGTCAGTTGAAAGACAAGTTTAAAACAAGCAGTTCATTGTACTGCTTTGACATTGTCTTCCTGCAGACTGTGGCCCTGCTCCTGGAAATTGAGCCACATGGACAGATCTCTGTTCCCACATGGCGCCCCACTGAAGTGAATGTTAGGGTGCAGGGGTCAACCTGCGTTGAACAACTTGCAGGATTGAGCCCTATATAGTTTTTGCTTTAAAGCCGTGGGTCTGTGTGACACTTATTCTGCTGCTATTGTTATTCCTGATGATGACAGTTTTGGAAAAGAGCTATTATGTTCATTAAAGTGTAATAATATAATGTGTGCATGTTTCATACAGAAAATGGTGAGCAGGTGCTGGTGAAAAATGAAACCTATTTGCAAATCTTGTAAGTACCTTTTCTGAGAAGCTGAGCTCTTTCATATGCCGTGCCTTTGTACTTCTAGTTCACTTTTTATTCTGTTTGATTTACACTTAATGTTCATCAAAGTACATTTAAAAATGTGACAATAGTCTAAAATTCCTGTATTTTGTAGGAAAAATAAGGATCAGAGAAAGAGACTTGTCCATGAAATCTGTTCCTTTTTAGACAGCAGTCAGTCTGTAAGTAATACATAACAAACAAACAAACAAACAAAAGGTTCCTGAAGACATTTACATATACATTATTAATGTTCAGTCTGTGAAAACTGAGGTTCGTGTATGTAGCTCAGACTCTGTGAGGTCTGGTCTACACACTGTTTTCAGATTGGTATAACTATGTCTATTCGTGGTGTTATTTTTTTACTAATATAGTTATATTGTACAATCACTAGTGTGAACGCTCTTTTACTAGTATAAAGGTGCCTTATATTTCTATAGCTTATTCCCCTTCCCATATGGTATAACTGTTAAAATAATAATAATAATAAT